TAAGGAGCTGGACTTTCCAGTGCCTACCCTCTGCACTGTAAGCCCAGCAGGCGCCCCCGGCAGCTGTTCTGCAGAGCTGTTCCTTGTTATCTCCTCTCCCCACTCTGGTTCTTCTCTTAGTGGCAATTTCCCTCACTTGCAGGAACTGACTGCTCAGATCATCCAGCCTTCTCTTGCTTCTGGCTGCCTTGAGAGAAACTTTATTTATGATCCATTTTTTACACTGCCTCTGTGCTCTGGATGTGTTTCTTCTTTACTTTATTAAACAGAACATTCTCTGGTTTAGAAAGATTGGGTATTTTCACCTTTATCAGTATATGGAAAACCAGCATTATTATAACTTCATCATCCCAAGGACACAGGCACAAGTCCCTGGGGTCAGAGCACAGACTGTGGACGTGACTGTAGGACCTGGTGGTATTCCTCTGCGTTCATCCTGCTGAGCTAGGTCTGTGCAACCGAGTCTGGCCTGGGGCCGATTTTACTAGCAGGAGCATCCTCAGATCCTCATGCAAACAGGGTGTTGATAAGATTCTCCCCACTCCTCCTCCAGATGCATCAGGATCTTAAACACCCACTGGAGTCCCAACAAATACACCTGCAAGGTGTGTGTGCTCTTGTTGAAACAGCGTGGGCTTTGCCATCTGCAAAATCTGAACTTGAAAGGGATTTCATCATGTGCTCAGCCTGTGACCTTGGCCAAGTTGCCTTTTGGAGTGTTGGGTCCCTTATCTTTATGTGACAGAGAAAAAAGGGAAAGATACACAGTTATGAGTATTTGCAGTTTTACACACACACACACACACACACACACCAAGCTATAATGTGACAGTGAGAATTCTTTGCCTGTTTGATCGGGTGCTGGGGCTGGATCAGTTACTCTGTCAAAGTGAGAAATGGAAAAGAGAATTATGGAAACCAAGAGAGGCCAGATCACGCTACCCAAGTAAGAAAGCTATGGAGAGTGGTGTCGAGGCAGAAAGGAGCAAGTGGGAGCCGTTTTCCTGGAAAAATGTAAAGACAGGATCTTGCAGCTGCATCTTAACGAAATGTATCATTTTGGCATTTCCAAGAAGCAGACACCACATGGAAACAGGAGAGCAGTTTTCTGAAGAAATGTTAGTAGGATAAAGAGAGGGAATAGCAGCAGCAGGAGGGAGGTTTGATGTCTATATAGAAGTAACAATTGGATATAAGAGGAGCTTCCACCACCACTGCAGCTCAAAGGAAGACTTGACTAGGCTGAAGGGGCACCCAGAACAAAGATGGTGCATGAGAAGGGTCCTAGGTGGGCAGGAATGGCTGGGCCCTATGGCCACACTGTGCTCAGTTAGTCACTGGGACCGGCCCAAAGAGGGCTTGCTGTGGTCTCTGTCAGCAAGCGCACTCTTCTCTGAAGGTTCTCTCTAAGGGTGATTAGAGAGGCACACCCCACTTTTGTCACAGAACTTGGTCTTCGATGGTCCTACGCTCTTATCCTCCATCATGGTTCCTGGGCTAATGGGTGCTGTTGCTGTTATTGTATTTTATTATTGTTAAAAGTTATCACAGAGTTAGTGGCTTTAAAAAAACACAAATGTATGATCTTATAGTTCTGTACATTAGAAATCTAACAAGGGTCTCATATAGCTAAAAGCAAACGTCACCCAAGGCCATGTTCCTTTCTGCAGGCTCCAGGGGATTTGTTTTCTCATCTTTCTTGGGTTCTAGAGGCTGAAGCCTTTCTTATACCCCATCATTTTGACCTTTCTTCTATGATCACATCTCCCTCTCTCACTCCTTTCTTTCTCCCTTTTCTCTCAATTTTAAGGGCCCCTGGAATTACATGGAGCCCACCTAAAAAATCCAGGATAATTTCCCTGCCTAAAGATCCTTAATCACATCTGTAAACTACTGCTCAGCCTGTAACATAACGTGTCCAAACCTCCCAGTGGTGAGGGTAGGGACGTCTTTGGGGATCATTGTTCTGCCTGTTGTAGAGACTGAGTTTTCAGTTCTAACTACGTCTTGGAACAAAACATCCACAGAGCCAGCCAGGGACAGAGGGAGGGCAAATAGTTTTGTGTGGAAAAAAAAAAAAAGGTGAACTAGAAAATTGGATTTTTTTTAAAAATCAAGAATGATGGTGGAAGTTATGAATGGAAAAAAACTTGCAAGCCATATCTTTGAGATATTTTTGTTCAGGAAAAAAAAATAAGAAGGAGAGGATTGATTTGGGGGTAGAAGTATATCAAATCTCCAGCAAAAAGAACACAGATATAATAATTTCAGGGTAGTTTCATCTGCAGCTAGTTCTTTTTGTCCAATAGCTTATTACCATGAACATAAATATCAGTCACATGATCAGAGCTTCAAAAGAAACACATTAACAATAAAGCACACAATTACCTATATGAGATGAAAAATCTTGATATACAGCAAAATTGAGAAAAATTTTATTTTTTTCAGAAGAGCACCCATTTTATTCTAATAAAATAAATTGTATTCTAATAAAGTGTGAAAACTGTATTAGAGTAAGGGTTACAGGATGGCCTTCATGAGTGCTCAACATTTTACTTCATAAAGATATAAAAACGCATGCATGTAACGAGTGAATAGAGATCTTTAGCTTTAGTGAGATCATTTTGTCAACATCGAGAAATAATACATTCTGGGGATGAGCACTCTGGATATAAACAATGTGGTGAGAAGTCTTTCAGCCAATACTCAGTATTTACTCTTCACCACAGAATTCACACCATGGATAAAGCCTATGAATGTAATGGGTGCAGAAAAGCTTTGAGCAAATGCTCCTACCTTACTAGATACAAAAGAACCAACAACAAAGATGATACTGATGAATGGAGCGACTATGAGAAGATAGGATCATCAGCCGTGGTTCCTGCTCTGCTAACACAAGAGACTCCTCCCGGAGAAAAGCACTGTGAATATAAAGATTGCAGGCAGTCTTTTATGCAGAGCTCCAACACCTACCAACATTGCAGAATTCACACTGGCTGAAGATACCCATGGGGCGATGGATGTGGACAGGACTTTAGTAGCCTGGGGCAATTCATACGATGAATAAGCCCTTGAGTATAAGAAATGTGGGACACCACTAGTCACTGTTTGGCTTTTATTCCTATCAGAGGGTTCATGCTTGAGAATATAGGTGAAACTTACCTCCTGTAAATGTCATTGTTTTAATATCAGAAAACTCCCAGCAATGGGAACTCTCTGAAATTGGCAATGCCTTGGGTCATGGCTAAAGCTATTGTCAGAGAATTCTCAATGAGGAGAAATTCAAGTGAAAAGGCAAATGAGTAATTTGACTATACAGATAGCAAATCAGGAGAAAGGTGAAAAGAATCTACTTGCGTATGTGAATACATAAGCAGATTTTCATTACTATTTCACAATGAGTACTGGAGAATAAAGTCAAACCATAAAGTTTTTTTGTCTGTTTGGACTGCTGTAAGAAAATACAATAAACTGGGAGGCTTCTGAACAACAAGTATATATTTCTTGTGGTTATAGGCACTGCAAAGTCCAAGATTGAGATACCAACAGATTTGGTGTCTGTCGAGGCCCACTTCCACAGGTGGCATATGCTTTTGCTGTCCTCACATGGGGTCAGTGATTGCCGAAATCCTTTGGCTCTAATTCTAGGGACCTTAAGCCCATAACCAAGTGACCCCCCCCCCCGCAGGCCTCACCTCTTAATCCCACTACATTAGTGATTAAACCTCAGCACATGAATCTGACAGGGAGACAAACATTCAGGCCATAGAAAACATTAGGGACTTTGGTCTTGTAGTCAAAATACCTTCTAAGTTGAGGCTGGGTCATGCTCGCTTGGGCAGCACATATGCTAAATTGAGGCTGTGGCTTAAAAGAGGCCATTGTTTCTACTGCCAGAGGCTGAAGGCAGCTTCTTTAGAAGGCGGCTTCTCCAGTGTGAGAAAGGGCAGTCACATTGGTTTTCAAAGACTTTGTCTTTTAATGTTGTATATTTTAAGAATTGTAAATGAGTCGATTTTTAATGGATAAAATGATGAGACTATATTTTAAACAATCCTGAGGCAATATTGAGAAACTAAGTGTGCGCCAGAACCAAAAGCTTCTAAGCCAGGTGCAGAGTGGCACACACTTGTAAACTCATCTGTTTGGGAGGCTGAGGCAGGAGGATTACAAGTTTGAGGCTAGTCTGGGCAACAGTGTGAAGGCCCTATATTTAATTCCCAGTACTGCAATCAATCAATCAATCTGTAGAAAGGACTGGGAATGTAGCCCAGCACTTGCTGGGATCAGTCCCCAGGACCAGTGAAAAAATTAGGTTTCTGGGTGAGAGAAGTCTGATCATTCGCATGGCCCTGGCAATGGGGAGGAAGACCCGAATGAGACCAGAGGAGCCCAGTGACGCAGAGTTGATGGTAAATTTACAGTCGTAAGCACAGTTGTTGTATGTGGAAAAAACCATCCTGGCACAGGTCAAGCTGGCTGCTGTGGCGTCCAAGAGAAATGCTTGTTTCAGTACCAGAGAGCCTGCAGAGGGCAAGAATGGCCCCGACAGCTGGGCCTCAAGGGCACGATCTTCTCCAAGACTTTGGCGGGACTGGCTCTCAGACCACAGTGAACATGAGGGTTTGGGGTTAGCGTGCTGCTTGGCTTAAAACTAATTTAACACAGTGTATAAATGAAAACTATTGATTGTGGGAGGGGGATACTGTTGGACTTCTACAGGCAGAAATCTTTGGGAGATTGGAGAAGACAGAGGATAGAGAATGTTAGGTGGCCCAGAGTGGCGGTGCGTAGGGAGAGGGGACAGGCGGGCCCTGCCCTACTTCTCTGCCCTCCTCCGCTCTGCCTTCCCATCCCGTTCCCAGCGACACAGTGAAGGTTTGCTGTGCTCTGTGTGCTATCAGTTTAGATTTGTGCTTCTGTTAAAGCAGCACTGTTTTACTGGGCCATTGTTAACATACCAGGTTATTGTGACATCAGCCTTGGGTATGACAGGAGCTCATCCAGCAGTGCCACTAAAATCCCTTGGCATACCGTCTGTCAAGCAACCAAAATGTCCCTGTCACTCTTCTATTTGGTGAGAGTGAAGGAATAAGCCAAGGCAGTCATGTTTCTGATTCCTTTGTTTCAGTAAGTGGTAATTTTTATCTTCCTTTTCTTAATATCAGGGAACATTTGGATTTAGGAGATAATGCCACTAAAAAGTATTGTGGTCTCATTAAATGCTGATTTCACACCTGTGCCGATGGGCAATCTGCCATTGATAAGGATTTGCTTAGTTACGATAATAATGACTAATATTTGTTGCTTGCACGGTAGAGTTTTCACGTGTTACTTTACTTCATGCTCGTGGTACACCTGTAAAGTCAGCATCGTGTCATCCCATTCTATGGCTGAAGAAGACTAAGCACGGAAAGGGTCTTGAAACACTTGCTAAGGTCGTGGCCCAGGTGAAATTTAAACCAATCTCAGCCTCCTGAGCTGCTCCCTCTAATGGGACTGCTTTCTACTCCGGCGTGAAGGCGACCTGTTTCCTCTAGAGAAATAAGCGATATCTAATGGTCCTGCCCACGCAGACCATAACAAGTTAAATGTTGGACAAATGTTTGCTTTTCATAAAGTAAACCTTAACGCCTCTATCTTTCCAAATGTGTGTAGTTCCCACTCTAAGCCACTCCGGGAGCCAGGGAACACAGGCAGCCTGAGAAGGCCTTTATTTACATTTCAAGAAGGGAGTTGGGCATTTTTCTTGTCTACACAGTAGCGCTGATGTCCTTAGATCTCATTCCAGGTTCCTGAGGTTGTCTGCTCCTGTCTGTTCCCATCCCCGGTTAGCAAGACTGAAGGCTTCCCCCTCATCCTCGGGATGCTGAGACCCCTAGTTACCAGTTCCGGACAGATATGCCTATGCCAGAAAACAGTGCTTCCAAAAATTACCATTTTGTTCTTTCATTTTAAAAAGAAGAGTTTATTTGTTTTTTGGTGGAGGTTTGAGGCAGGGTCTCACTATGTAGCCCAGGCTGGTTTTGAACTCGCTGCAATCCTGCTGCCTCAGCCTCCTGATTTCTAGGGTAAAAAACAAAAAGTTAAAAAATAATTATGAGAGTTTTAGGTTCATGGTAAGGTGGAAGAAGGTACAGAGAATTCTTATATATAGCGGGGACCCTCTACACACACCCTCCTCCTCCCACATCCACAGTTCGTGTGAGGTTTCATCTACACATGTGCAGTGTGACATGTATCATGACTATCAAATGGCTACTTCGATTTCCCTAAAAGACCTCTGTGCTCTGCCCATTCGTCCTTCCTTCCCTCCAATCTCTAGCAACTATCGATCTCTTTATATGGCCACAGTTTTGCCATTTTACTCCATTTTAAAACTGTGGTCCTGCTTAATTTGTTTTCAAGGCAGCATTCATTTTTCTTGTGAATGCTAGAACTTGTGCTGAATTAGTTAATTAATTCATAGTGTCTCACTACATAGTCCAGGCTGGCCTCGAACTCAAGATCCTCTTGCCTCAGCCTCCCTAGTGATCTCTTTATTTTTATTTTGTTCATTTAGATTTTCTCCTATTATTCAAAGTCAGTGGTGAGTGATATTAATATCTTATATTTGAATAGCGAGTAATACTGAATAGTTATAATTAAAGAGTTCCTTTATTATTACAAGTGCTCTCCTATGTATTACCCTAATCTTCTCAATAACTTTATATTTATACTCATCATACAGACGAGAAAGTCGAGACTCGGTCATTCTTGGTGATTTGCCCCGTGGGAGTGCAGTGAACGTGTTGTTTACCAGTACGCATTTTCCTTATTGGTACAATCCCTATTTTCGTTGGTCAGCTTCTCCATCCTCAGGGTGTGAGGTTCTTGAACAGTGGAGCCAACGGACAGTTCCAGAGTGGAGCATCGGAGTCATATGAGAATTGAGAACCTCTGAAAGTCAGTCAGTGATCCCCCCATGGCCAACTGGTGTTAGTTTTGAGCACAACCTAAAGCTTGAGGAGGGACTGCAGGAGAAACAAGGCAACTGAAAATGGAGTTGATGCAGAAGGACTCCAAGCTTGTAAAAAGTCACCATCATTATCCCTGGGTTGGGCGTTTCCTTTCTTCTTTTGCTTTGATGTTTTTGGAGACAGGTAAGTCTCACTATGTAGACCAGTTTGGCCTTGAACTTACTATGTAGTCTTTGGATTCATGGTGATCCTCCTGCCTCAGCTTCCCCAGGTGCTGGGTTTCTATGCCTGTGCCCCACACCCAGTTCTGGGTGGAAGTTTCAGTTGAGAAAGCCATGACACTGCCCTCTGGCTTCCTCCAGGTGAACTCACAGTCAAAGGTTGGAGAAGTGCTGTGCCAACTCACCTGTCTCCAAGGCCAGCAGGCTGGCACGGCTTAGGGCCCCCTCTGAAGGCTCTGAGTGTGACTGGAAGAGCCTGAGGGGCCTCATGTTATGATGCCACCCCTCGTCTGCCCCCAGAACCCCACGCTTCTCCTAGCAGCTGCATTTTTGCTTGTTTAAGGATCTTCCCTAACAGCTTTCCGGTGTGAAGACAGAGCTAAAAGTGTCAAACTTGTAATACTCAAGGCCACCTGTTTTCATTTTGAGTAGAGAAGTGACCTTCCCTGTTTTCCAGGACTTCTTTTATTCTTGCTGAGAATTAAAAAGCAATAGCTAATGGCTTTGCAGCAGTGACTTGCCATTCTCGGAGTATTCTAGAATAAATGCCAGCAAGGCTGGTTGACGGAACACATTCAGTTTCTGAATATTCTCAGCCATTCTCTGTTTGTAGAGAAAGAGATGAAAGAAAAGCCAATAGAAGCTCCTGACCTTGGCGATGATATTTTCAGTCTCTTTCTTGTTGTCTGGCATTATTTTCCTCTCCGGGATTTCTGTTAGCACAAAATTAACACACACATATTGTAAAAATTCATATGATAACATAAAACTGAAAGCATAACCCTGTTCCCCATGAACCTACCTTTCCCAGGCCAACTCTACAGAAATAATCACTGTTAACAAATTGTATTTGAAACTTTTCAGACAACTTTTCATGCATTTCAAATATACTTTGGAAAGAAAGAAACAGTACATATATGTATAAAGAAAATATTCTCTGCTCACACTCCATTTTCACTTGCTTTGGGGAATCACTGGGATTATTTTTATACTGTTCTGTAATTATCAGAATATATGACACTGTGCAGGCCAACAAGTGCAACTCCTTCTCTCTGAAGGTTACATCATAGTTTTTCAGTTTGGTTTGACTGCGATCTAGCCAACCATTCTCCAATTGACAGTTGCTTGAATTGTGCGTTTTCTATGATTATACCATATTTTTGATGAATGTTGTCAAATGATGATCCCAAACAGTGGTATCCGTTTGTGCGGCCATACAAGTATAAGAAAGTACCTGTTTCTCAACATGATTGCCAACACTGCAGGTAATGAAGTTTTATATTTTTACCAGGAAATAAGTAGAAAATGGAATTATGTTACTATTATTTTAAATCCATGCCTTTTACTCTTATGAGGAATTTGTTGCTTTTTAATATTTCTTAGCCACCATAAATATTTCCATAGAGAATTGCCTTGATATTTATTTATTTATTTATTTGTTTGTTTGTTTATTTTGGGGGGTACTGGGGGTTGAACTCAGGTCCTTGTGCTTGTGAGGCAGGCAGCAGAACCGCTGAGCTAAATCCCTGGCTCGAGAAATTTTTTATCATATTTCTATCATATCATTTACCATATTACTATTGTACTGCTTGAATTTTCCCTCCTGATTTTGCAGAAACTCTTTATATTGTTATATATACAGTGGTAACTCATTTACCCTACTAACTAGAAGATTTCCCTGTATTTTTATTTAGTCAAAATTGTTGGTTTTTCCTGATACTGTGATGTTCTTTGTTTCATTTGATGATTGGAACAATATTTCTCAGTATATTTTTTGTACTTTTAGTTTACTAAACTTTATGTGGTATGAAGTAGGAACTGAACTGGTAGTCTGTCACTACAGCACATTTTAGTGAGTTCCAGTTCATCCTTTTTCTTCTGGTTTGAAGTACCATCTTTATTGTGTTTCCTAAGCCCATCTTTATTCTATTTCTAGATTCCCTGTACTGTTCCAACAGGAACTGTTTGTGGATTGTGAACTAGTACTGAAGTTTACCATACTGCTCTGGAACCATACTGCCTGGATTAAGTCCCAGCCCTGCCATTTACCAGCTCTGTGACTTTGGGAAAGTTTCAAGATCTTTCCTGATCTCATTTTCTTCTTCTGGAAAACATGAACAATAGCAATATCAGCCTAATCATGTTGTGATGATTAAATGGAATAAGACACACTGAGCATTAATAAAATTCCTGGCTTCTTATAAGTGATAATTTCCTAGGTAACTTCGTCTGAGCACCTACCACATGCTAACATATTCCTTTTGTCAGTGTTTTAAAGTTTCCGATTAAAAATAATAAATAAGATCTAGAAACGTTAAGTGACTTACCTGATGTGTGAATCATGGTTCTAAACCCTGTTTGTCTCATTGTAAGACATATGCCATTTTCAATTTCTTTTTCTCCTTTTATATAACAACCGGGACTGAACAATAGTGGCAGTTTGACACTCAACTTCTTAGATTTTCTAGCTATCAGAACCTTACCTGCCCCGCAACCTTTTTATGTTTTCTTGACCTCCTGGTTTTCATATCTGTGCCAAAGTTAATTCTTAAAAGGCACTTACCATGCACTAAGAACTAGAAACAACAAACTCTAAAACACAGTCATATATTTTCTATTCTGATAATTTTCATAGATACATTATCCAAAAATAATATTCAGCATAGCCTGCTGGTCAAAGTTTAACATTAATTAGACTGAATTTTTTTTGTACTGGGGATTAAACTCAGGACCTTGCTCTTGCAAGGCAGGCATGGTACCACTGAGCTAAATCCCCGGCTCTAGACTGAATTTTTAAAATGAAAATCCCAGTAGTTGGATCGGTCAGTGTGATCTCAGCCATCCTCTGTTGTCAGTTTGTAGCTCATCCTACATCCTGTCACCCTCTGCTCTCTGGCGCTTTGTTAGGCACCCTCCTCACTTGGTTTCAATACTTCTTGGATAGCACCTTCCCAAATCCGGGTGTTTTATATCAAAAATCCACTGCTACAGAGACTAGCTGATTCTATGTCCTCTGCCTAGACACAGGGAAGATTCTCTTCCTTGGCTTCCCTTGAAGATAAATTGGGACTGTCTCTTGTCTTCTGAGCAGTGGGATGTGATTAGCAGTAATCCCAGCACTTCTAGCTCTGATAATAAAGCACACTATGTGTAATGTAATTGTATACAGCAACTCGACTGTGCCGTGGCGTCCAGACAAGTGCTCACATCTTATCCTGGATGTCTCCAGGAGGGTATTTTTAGGAGAGATTGACACTTAAATCAATGGACAAATGAAGATTATCCCCCACAATATGGGCCTGGCTCTCCAGTCAGTTAAAGAGCTGAATAGAACTGACCTCCTGTGAGTAAGAAGGAATTCTGGCAGGAGATGGCCTTCAGACCTGAAGAGCAGGATTGACCCTTTGCTGATCTTCAGACTTCTGGCCCATCCCGCGGTGTATTAGTCAGGTGTCTGCTACTAAAACAAAATACCCGAGATGACTGACTTATAAAAAGAAGTTCAATTTGATCATCCCTGTGGCTTCGGGCCTGTGGCAAGGCAGCAATCACAACAGAAGAGCATGGCAGAGCAAAACCATCTGCATCATGAACCAGGGGGCAAAGAGAATTCAGGGGAGACCAGAGTCCCACAGCCTTTGCTGTGGGTGCACCCCCAGTGACCTTGCACCAGGTCCCACCTCCTGAAGGTTTCAGTATCTCTCAATAGCATCCTGGTATTGAACTTCTGACAGATAAGAAGTAAACATCTGTCGTCGTTATTGTGCAGTCACTGGCATTTGTTACATCAGCCAGAGTTACAGCTGCTAACTAATATCAATACTTATTATCATTGAGGCATAGAAAATCCAGCAAAAAAGTCCAAATCTTTTGATGTCTTTCTTTTAAATTAAAAAAAAATTTTTGAAAAATAACCTGACTCTAGAGATCTGCCACAATTGAATGATAACTCTGGTGCTGAATGTAAGGGACTAGTAATTTTTCTATAACCATAGCTATTTTCTACAGTGAGCCAATCATCTGTTTGCTTGGGCTGCTATCATGGCTAAGTCTGACTACAGAGCCTAAGGATCTTGTTACATTGGTTCCTTAATTTACAGTTTATGGTTAGGTTTTTACCAAGTTCACAAACTTCCTAAACTGTACGCCCATTGCATGTTTGTCAGAGGGTGCACATTTTTCTTAGAAATTCCTAATAGATACTGAAGAGGGTCTGTGTTAGTCCATTTAAGATGCTCTAACAAAATACTATAAACTGGGCAGCCTATAAGCAGCAAACAATATTTCCCATGCTTCTGGAGGATGGGAAATCCAAGATCAAGGTTCCAGCACCCTGAGGAATGCCTGCTTCCTGGTTCATAGATGAACACTCTCTCACTGTGACCTCATGTGGCAGCATGGGGAAAGGAGCTCCCTCAGGTCTTTTTTCTGAGGGCACTAACCACATCCGTGAGAGCTCCACCCAAATTACCTAATCATCTCCCGAGTCCTAATACTACCCCAGTGGAGGTTAGGATTTTAAAGCGTGAACTTTGCAGGGATGTACAGACATTCCATCTGTAGCATTAATTGATTTATAAATGTTGTTTTATTAATTTGTTCAGGAATTCTTTACAGAGTGCCTGCAAGTTCTAGGCACAAATGACATTCAGAACGTAATAGTGAATGTGAGATGTATGAGAGTTGCTCCCCTGAATAGGCAATCTAATGGAGGATTTAGATTACAAAATCTTGTAAGGTTCACACTGTTACATGGACTCTATGCATAAGGAAAATGCAATGCACAGAGGTTAGGCAGCTTGTGAAGGAGACCTCTCTTACTGACTCAGTGGGTCACCCAACATGTAGGACTCAAGGAGCAGTGCATATTTCTGGCTTCAGCTTCAAGTAACATCTAATTTATGAGGAAAGAATTGCTCACCATTGCTCTTGATTGCTTCTTCCTGAATTTCTCCACTTTCCATACAAAAAGTCCTGTCCAGGTAGCCATGGCAATCATGGGCTACATCAGAACTGCTGTGCACATCAGAGGTGTATACTGCAAAAATTGGCAGAAAAGTGAGTTGTTAAAATGGTGTTACATTTCTAAAAGAAATGGTTGGAGAATTAGAGAATCAATCAGGAAAAAAGGAGCAGGAGCCTAGGAACATATCCAAGATTATATCTCAGCAATGTTCTGCTATTATGGCCACTGGATTCAAACTGCTGTTCCTTCTGTGTGTCATTCTCGGATGGAACAACTGATTCTCAAAACCTAGGTCAGGTGTTTATGCCATAATGGCCAGGAGTTAGGGGCAGGGATTGCTTTGAATAGGGAGGATGAGGTGTACAGGTTCTCGGTAGCTAAAAGTAATGACTGCCCATCAAAGGCAGATGATAGCTTCAAGTGATTCTGGGGCCCAGAGAAAAGAAACATATAAAAGAAGCTCTGGCCATTTGTGATAGGAAGGCAGGCATTGGCAGGGTTCTGGTGGAATAGGATAAAATAGGATCCCTCAGGGTGGATAGGATCCATTCAGCTTTGAGTATTATATATTAATGAGAACTCTGAATTTCAAGAAATAAAACCAAACTCAAATTACTTTAAGCAGAGAGAGAGAGAGAGAGAGGAATTTATTGTCTCATGAAATTGAAATGTCTTAGAATATTTAAACTTTCAACATAGCCTGGTGCAGAGATTCAACTGATATCCCTAGAAGGCATTGTCTGCACTGCTGACTTGTACTTTCTTCTGTGTTTGCTCTCTTCTCCAGCTCATCTTTGTAGCAGCTCCAGATCCATTTTTCCCCAAGTTCACGATCAAGCGGAAACAGTTTGCCTCTTTCCAGAAGGTCCCAGCAGAAGCCTGCTTATGTGCCTCTGACTGGGGATATGCTCGTCCTTTAACTCATCACCAGCATCAGGGATGTAACTGATCGGCCAATCCCATGTCTCATGCCCACCTGAGAGCTGTTACAGAGATGAATCCTCTTGTGGCACAGGAGAAAAGAACGGGGGAGGAAGTTGTCCTCCAGAGAAGAAGGAGGAGAGGGCACAGATAGATGTTAGTATCAAAAGCGTGCTGTCAGTCCTTGAGCAAGCTCCCAGGCAGAGGTGGAGCAACATGTCAGCCAGTAGATCTGACTCAGCAAATGAGCAGGAGTGGAGTCTTCCCTGGAGATTCCACGGGAACGTCAGGGAGCGGTGCAAAAGGGGACTGGGAATGGAGCAGAGAAAGAGAGAGGCTACAGACTGGCCTGGAACCTCTCCTGGAGTTAGAACTTTTGCAGGCACAGCAGATATCTGCCCTGCAAAACAAAACAAATCCCAGACTCCAGCTGCTGCTGGATGGAATCTCAGAGTCTGGTCAGCATCAGCTTAAGGACTACCTGGGAAAGAGCCTCTGGGCTCCAATAGAGTCAAAGAGACTGGGACCTTATCCAGTTGACCCAGAGTTAATTCTCTCAGAAACAAAGGATGATGTAGTAGCTAGAACAGCAAATAATTTCTTTTCCTTTGGTCCCTCTCTTAGTTCATATTTCTCTAAGTATCCTGCCCTTCCTGTTAGACTTGTTAACATCCCAGTCTCTCTCTCTCCCTCCCTCTCTCTCTCTCTCTCTCTCTCTCTCTCTCTCTCGCCTTACTCCTCTGATGAGTTGAGTTTCCTGTTTCCTTCATTTATTCCTTTGGTTCTGACCCAAAGCTTGGTTGTACTCTAAGACATGCAGATCAGAAGGCAGGAATCAGGCATTGACTTCAGTCAGATTCTAATTTTTGATGTCCTTGACCCTTGCAATAGATTGAATAGTGTCCTCCAAAATTCACGTCCACTTCAGAATGTGACTTAATCTAGAAATAGGACATTTGAAGATGTAAATAACAATTGTGATATGAGCTCATTCTGTGTTTAGAGTAGGCCCTACATCCAATGACTGATGTCCTTAAAAGAAGTAGCGAGGACACAGAGACATGGATGGGAGGAAGACAGGAAGATGAAGCAGAGATTGGAACGATGTGTCTGTGAAGGCAAGGAAGGCCAAGAATTGTTGATCACCACCAGAAGCAAGGAGGGAGGCATCAAGGAAATTCTCTCTTGGAAATTTCAGGACTTGTCAAGAACTTGATTCTAGATTTCTAGTCTCCAGAACTGGGAGAGAACAAATTTTTGTTTTCTTAAGCCCCTCCTTGATTTGCAGTCATTTGTTATG